AAAAATTAAAGATTCCATATAACGGTTCACCATTGGATATTCCTGTAAAACACCTCTGCCTATAAATAGTTTAACAGTTTCCGCCCAAGGCGGAGAGCTCTGGGGATCTCACAGGAAACACCTGTGCTTGTCACCAGAGAATTGGGAAATTGATCAATTCCTAATTCATCACCCCGTCAGCGTAAAATTGACGTAAAAAGTCTTGCAAGCGCGACCGTCTGCTTTCGGCGCCACGTCCGTCATTATCTCACCGTCATTTAACTGCGTGCGTATAGTTGACTCTGTAACCGAAGCGGTAACGGAACAAAGGCTCTCCTGCGTCGTCCATCACTATCTAGGCGACGTAAGTAAACAAACTCCTGTAACCTACACGCGTCTGTGCCTGGTTAATTCCACTCCATCCATCACTACCCGCCTGCCGAACTCTAAATCTAAACACTCCGGTGTGAGTCAGGCGGCTGCCGGCTGCTGCTCTGATTCACGACACTGCCAACACATCTCCACCACCCCCACTATTACTACACCCCACAACAGAGCCATCAGCATCCCTGCATCTTACAGCTGCACCTCCAGAAATGTAGTATACCTCATCCAGTGCACCAAATGCCCTGATGGAAAATACGTAGGACAGACCAAACAACTGCGCACCAGAATGAACGCACACCGGAAATCCATCAAAGACAGAAATACCCAATTACCGGTGGGGGCACATTTCTCACAGGAGGGCCACTCTCCCTCCAATCTCTCAGTCCTGATCCTCAAAGGAAACTTACACAGCACTTCCCAGAGATGAGCCTATGAGCTCCATTTCATCAACCTCCTGGATACTAGAGATCATGGACTTAACACAGACATTGGATTTTTGATACATTATAATCTGCCTGGCAACTGAGTCCCCAGCCTAGCCCAGCCCCTGGCTTCTTCACTTTTCATTCCATCCAGGAAGAGCACACACCAACTGCTGAAACTTGCTTAGCCTGACGAAGGATTTTTGAACCCGAAAGCTTGCTTAATAACTATTCTCCAACCATTTGGGTTGGTCTAATAAAAGATATCAAATTCACCCAAGGAACCTTGTCTTCTTTTGATCTGATACATTTGTCTACACCCAAGTTGATTTTAAAAGTTGTTTTGTTTTAAAAAAGCTGTCTGCTGTCACTACATACAATAATGTACTATTTGGTGAACCAACTATCTGTTGGTTGCAGAGATGCCAAAGTATCCAAAGGAGGCTCAAGTTTTGTATTCACTGAAAGAGCTGCAATATAAAGAAGAGTCCTTCAGCTAGGGCCTCCTTCTGGATGAACAGAGCTACAGGACTCTTCGCCCTTACAAAACATGGAAGCATATAACCTTACACCTACATGGATACACTTCTCAAGAAACTAAAGATTGGCAGCAAACTGGCCCTACAGATCTGCAATGGGGTGTAATTCCAAGACTCAGTGCTCCAGGAAACCCCATCAATGTCCTGTGCGTTTCACCTGTTTTTATATGGGAACACAAGCAAGTCAGCTAAAAGGCTACCTAATCTTACTATGGCTCCTGTAACTGTCAGCTGCAATAATGCTTTCTTTATACAGCTACACTTAATTGAATCAGAACAGATTTCTGGAATACTTAACCAATTGTAGCAAATCTCTTCATCTGCGACTCCCTTGGGGTTGGCTGTGTTTTAAATGCAAAACTGGTTTTGACAGCATACTGTTCAAGTAGAAGCACTGTGCCAACCTTTATACTGTTATACCATTCAGGACATAAGGAATTCCACAAAACCATTGACATCATGCCTGAACTGTCAGCAACTTCAAAATACGCCTAAGAGAGGGGGAAAAAAATAAGTGTTTGACCTTTGGTAACACAAAAAAGAACAACTGTTGTTTTTAAATAACTATTACAATTCCCGCTGACTTCACAGTAGTTTGCCTAGTAGTTTCAATACTAGTCACACTTCCTTGAAGCCATAGTTAGCACCAAGAGGTTAAATTCAACAAGAGGAGTGCAAGAAATCTATACCTCCCTGCATGAGAATCCAACTGATGTAATTATTTCTGTTCTTAGCACTGCTAGGTGCTGAAAGGAACAGAAAGAGTTAGAATCAGTTTCACCTTAATCTGTTCCACTTTTAGGTGGTTAAGGAAATACCCTGGGTAGGGGTACACAAGAAAATAAAAATAGAAAATGCAGAGAAAAAGTAAAGTGGATTATTAGCTCATCAGGCATCAATAAAGATTTATGAAAAAGAGGGTCTTAATGGCATTAGTGCACCATTCACGTTAATAAAGATACTTGCAATCTTTAAAGGATCAAACTAACAACTTATTACTCACTCTGCACCTTAAAGACATTTTTCTCTCCCCAAATAAACACACAGATTCAACCACCGAAAAGACAATTTGTCACGATACTCTAGAAAACTTCGTTATCCGTGATGAAGAGCATCTTGCATCCAAAAGCTTGCCTAACTCTATCCCAACTACATGTTTGGTTCAATAAAACATCACCCTCAGAAATCCTTGCTGCTTGCATAAATGCTAGACCATCACGGCTACATCATTACTCTTACACTACTGTTATTTGTGACTGTCCGTCACCAAACTGCAGGTTCAATCATGAAATCACATCTACCTGGATTTATCAGTTCCATATTTTAAATGGCTACGCTTTTATAAAAGTAACGTTTTTAGAGTTTATTTGTTACTGAATGCATGAACCTTAACCATATGGTAATTAAATTGCTTCCATGCATTTTAGAGCTACTCATATGAGAGGTCTAATTCATGTTGCTCTTTTACCTGATATGGAACGTCCAGTCTTTTGTCAGGTTTCCCATAGTACCTAAGTCTAGATTTGTGCATGACTCTCACAAGCAAGGGAGGGAAGTGAACTCTGCTTCTCCAGCTCATTTCCAGATGACCAAGGGAGATTAATTTGGATGCTATGGAAAAATCAAAATGATAAAATAGTTCATAAAGTCAGATCTTAACATGTCTGGTGGCAAATGTGCTGCATACATTGCATCTGTGGCAAACTATTTGCTAAGTGAACAAAATGTCGTGCATTTTTATAAAGTTTCTATCATAAGAATCTGTTTGCTAATGTCACACATGTTGGAACTGAGTTCTCAGTCATTTGTTCATAGCACAGACTATACTTTTAAATTGTGGTGACATACGTCTAAAGCGCGAGTACCACATTTGCAGCACGTAAACCATCACCACGAGCAGTGGAAAACTATTCTAAAACATACACAGTTCAATGAATGAGGCCCCTGGTCTTGCAGCAAGTTCTGCATGACAGCACCTGGCACTTCTCTACACCAAGCACAATTCACACCTCCATGAACTGGCAGGGGCCTGTAGCAAATATCTCCTT